AATGTTTTCTCTTTCTCATATTCATATATGCTCTCTCTCTCATTACTCATGGGCTGAGTTTTTGAAGTGCACTTGCACATTGGCCAATATTGGTTTTGAGTCTATAGAAGTGCTGCTTATCTATCGTTCATAAAAGAATTTTAACACAATGTGTGGGATTGTTTTAAGATTGTTCCTATTAAACGCTTCTGCTGATTTATAATTCTTAGTGCTCATCAATTTCCGATTAGCATGTTCGAATGGAGGCTTTATCTTTGTGCGTTCAAATCAAATGATTGGAGTATAGTACGGCTATGGATGAGGCGCAGTCTTCGTTGTATTAAATTCTTGCTGTCATGCAATATGACTAGATATGTTTCCTCGGAGTGTTTTAAGATTGTTCCTATCAAACGCTTCTGCTGATTTATAATTCTTAGTGCTCATCAATTTCCGATTAGCATGTTCGAATGGAGGCTTTATCTTTGTGCGTTCAAATCAAACGATTGAAGTATAGTACGGCTATGGATGAGGCGTAGTCTTCGCTGTATTTAATTCTTGCTGTCATGCAATATGACTAGTTATGTTTCCTCTTCGATCCTTTGCGCGAGAAAGATGAGAAACGGGAAGCCGAGAAATGTGGGAAATTGATTGATGGGTAATTGAGAATAATTACAAATCGATTGAAAAATGAAGAGAGCTATGAAATAGATAAATGATTAATCAAGGGCGTTGCGCATTGAACTATTAAAAAATCGAGAACGCAGGGGAATAGACATGTATGAAATCGAGACAGCTGGATAGTGGATTAACGGCAAATCGAGAAAGCTGGTAATGTAATAATGTGCCATCAGGGAAGCTGCGAGTGAGTTCATGACACAGGTGTTCTATGTAAAACACTGTTTGATAAATAGATATTTAGTAAACTGGATAAAAGGATTTTGTTAAGTAGTTCGATGGTAAATCGGGGAAGCTAGGAATATAATACAATTGGTAAATCAGGTAAGCTAGAATATATACTACAATTTACAAATGTGATTTATTGAAAAATTGGTGGACAGGTCGATGCGAAGTTTCGCAGGTTGGTAAAAACATAAATTGTTGGATAATCGAGAAAGCTGGGCAATAAACACTTGTAAGATTGAAAAAGCTGGTGTATATATGGATGGAAAAACGTAGAAGCTGGTAAATATATATATATAAATGGTTAATCGGGGAAGCTAGGCAATATATTACAGATGGTATATGTAAGAAAAACCTGGTTGATTAGTTAATGTGAATCGAGAAAGCTGAGATAAATTTTTATGACCCTTTGGAGGTCGGTCCCTTTCGAAAAAAAAGTCTTCCAATGGGAGAAGTGGCCTGCAATGAAAACACGGTGAGACTTTCAGAGGGACGTGATATTGGCGGCAAATCGAGGAAGCTGGTAAATTTAATACATAAGATCAATTGGGGACGCTGGGAAATATAGCGCAGATGGTACGTGTAAAAACTGGTTGCTTCGGTTGATAGCTTGATAGACAATCCAGTAAGCTGGGATATATATTGATAGGAAAACGGGAACGCTGATAAATTTATTACGGAAGGTAAATCGGGAACCTGGGTAATGTTTTACAGATGGTATATGTAAAAATCTGGCTAATGTGTAGATGAAAAACCAAGAAAGCTGAGACAGAAACTCAGGTGGGCAAGCTGGGCAATTCATTACAGTTGGTAAATACATTTCAGTTGGCATTTGAGAAAAAAAAAACTTGTTATGTACTGTATTGATGGGAAATCGACAAAAAAAAATGCGATATAAAAGTAAAAGCTGGTATATTTATTGCAAATGCTAAATCGGAGAAGCCGGAAAATATATAATACAGATGGTATATGTACAAACCCTAGTTAATACGGTTGATAGATTCATAGAAAATCTGGTAAGCTGGGATATATATTTAAATATGAAAACGAGGACGCTGGGAAATATATTTCGGATGGTAAATCGGGGAGGCTGGGAAAAATATTTCAGATGGTAAATATGTGTACACACAATCGAGAACAGGGGTACACCAGGACCCTATTTCCACCCCTACAAGGGTTTAAGAATATTGGGTCAAATCGGGATTCCTCGACGGTTTTGAGCTGATCTCATCGTCCCGAGAAATGTGAGCTGGTTGGCTTTTCGATTGCACTATTATTTCAGCAGTTGATTTTTTACAATTTGCCATTTCCCTCTTCCCAATATAAAGGTGTTTTAGTTACCGGACCGTCCCATTCTCTTCGGAATTGTACTCCTCGTGACAGCTCGACTATGGACATCAGTCCTCAGAAATTCTGACGCATAGTTAATGGAAAACGGGGAAGTTGGTAATTTACTACATATGGTAAATCGGGGAAGCTGGGAAATATGTTACATATAGCATATCTAAAACACTGGATGATATGAATAATAGATTGTGAAAAATCGAGAAAGCTGGTATATAAATTACATAGCAAAAATGGAAAACACTGAATGATATGAATAATAGATTGTGGAAAATCGAGAAAGCTGGGTCATATCTTGATGGGAAAACATAGAAGCTGGTAAATTTGTTACAGATGGTAATTTGGGGAACCTGGAAAATCCATTTCAGACGGTTTATAAATAAACTGATTTATAGATTAATGGAAGATCGAGAAAAGTGGTACATATTTTGATGGGAAAGCGGAGAAGCTGGTAAATTATTACAAATGGTATATGCAAAAAAAAGACCGGTTGACAGGTAGATAGGAAATCGAGAAAGCTAGGATACTGATTGAAGGTGAATCGGGAAAGCTGGCACTCAGATTGATGAGCAATTGAGATGGTACATACTTTTTTATTTCATGATGGAAGTAGCGTACATTTCCTGAGATAGCTGGGAATTAAATCGCTCTCAAATCGAGAACACTTGTAGATATATTCATGGAAAATCGGGAAAGCTGGTAGATTGATTGATGTGATGGGAAATCGAGAGTTGGAGAATGGTTTATTCGCAAATTGGAGAATGGATCAATCACATACTAGAAATTTGCATAGTGTCTCCAAAAACCTTCGTAAGTGTTCAGATATGCTACACATCTCAGCCCATCGCCTCACAATGATAACGCCTCGCCGATAGCCGTTCGTTCTATTTATATGTATTTCTCACATCACGTGTATCTATCCACACGTAAACATTATCTAGCACTTTACTACCCACGAGCTAAATTTTCGAACAGTGTGATTCACTGCCGTTCACATGTGTGCTTTAGGTATTCCTGTAGAGGGTTTTAATCGAAAGGAAAGCGAATTCGGACAAACTGCGCTTGTTTTTCTTCTAAACCTTCTTAGAGAGCAAGTGTGACCCGCCACTTTCAGAATTTTGAAGTTTGCCGGCTTGGATATTTTCTAGCTACGGTCCCGGGGGGACCTACCATCCGAAAGGAGGGCTGTAACATGAGATCCATCCTTCCTGAAGGTGCGAGCAGATATACTCTTAGACCATGTGTAGGTTTATATTTGTCATGTATTCTATTTAGGTATCACTACCTTTTTATTTATAGAGATATCTTTTCCAGTATAATATATTCCCACTTAGTTTAGTATTTATCACCCAAGTGTATTCCATTCTACTTTATAATGAATCCCACTAGACCTATTGATAGTCCCCATTACTTCACATTGGTACTTTGTCCTACACTCGAGAGGCATCAGAGAAAGCGGATCAAAGAAGCTATCTCTACGGGAATATGATTTCGCGTAGAAGATTGTGAGGAATACTTTAAATATTATCTAGGTAGGGTCACCACCCGTAGGGGGTGCCCCCAACCATTCAGGGGTACCCCACCGATCTCGGGGGCTCTCACCTCTCCACCTAGGTCTACACGCTAATTCCTTCACTGATAGTTCTACCATGTACGGCCCCTCTTTTATTTTAGGAGTATATAATATAATAGCATAGCACCCCCGGGATGTAAGATCAGATGGTAGCCTGCTACGAGGGTCGTAGGATAGGATAGCGTACACCCCGGTGGTAGATCCGAAGGACCGTGTGTTTACGTCTACCTCCTCTACTACTCCGAAGGAGGGAGATAAAATTTAATATATTTTACTCCTGGACTGTGGGGCAGGATAGCACTCATCTATGCCCAAAATAACAATAACTCTAGCCATTTACACCACACCGTATCTCTAACTGCTGGTTGCAATGAAATTATTTTTCTAAGGGTATTTGATATTAGATGCACCCCTGAATGTCTATTAGGAGGTGTTTTTAACAGCTACGGCAAAGTCATTCTGGATTGCTTATCGCAGATCAGCGGCCATCTTCCAGCAATAGTAAATTATTCCAGGCAGAAAATGTGAATATTTATACACGTATAAAGTGTTTGGGTATGTTTCCCATGAGCTCTAAAACTACCCTCATCGGAGGGGGTCTATCTACGATAGTTTAGTGTATCCTCTACTTATATATATGTATTACCCCTCTCGGGGAGAGAGGGCATGTCCACTCTTGTAAAGAGTTGCCAGAGAGAGTACCGAAGGTATGCAATGCCACTTGCCAGCTTGGAGGGAATACAGAAACAAAAATAAGATCCTATAAATATTGCCCCTATAACATATTCTACTGGGACAGAAGAAACCTAACCTGGAAAGGGGGTAACAGAGTCGCCCAGCAATTGAACCGCTGACAAAAAACCTTTACTGAAAAAAACAGATGATATTTCATTGGAAGTGTAGTGCCATCAATAGATGGCTGGTGAGGATTGAACCGCTGACAAAAAACCTTTACTGAAAAAAAAACAGATGATATTTCATTGGAAGTGTAGTGCCATCAATAGATGGCTGGTGAGGCATTCATTAAATTCAAGGTGGTGCTGTACAGGTGTTGAGAACAAACATGGTTATTTAACTACTCATCACTCGATCACTTTCGGCTTTCAGGTTTAAATCCACGACTTTTTATGAATGATTCCGAGATTACACTTGATAAAACGATAAATTCGTGTACACTTGCGAGGGAATTAATACCCTTTTCTTCTCAATCTGTATCGCCCTCTTGTCTGTTGATTGCTGCGAATTTGTTGACTACCCGTTCAATGGCCTTGAGTCCCATTTGCAGATTCTTCAGCTCAGGCCCATAGGAGAACCGCACGTAGTTGGCGTACGGCGACATCGAGAAGTGTCGCCGAGACCCAGGGTTCAGGTCAAAACTCACACCACTTACGCAAATCAGCTGTGCGGGTGAGTGTATGGATGTGTAGAGGAGTATACAAGTGTGATGGATGAGTGTATGAGTGCAAGGAATGATCGCTATAGGGGTTTAAGGTTTCAGTATGCTGCATTGCTGGCGCAATTTGACTACCCTTCGATATAGCCATCACTACTCACAAAGTACAGGTATCAATTGGCACCATTAACCCACAACTAATCCGTTATACAAAGATGTTTGGCCTATTCTACATTCTGGTAACCTAGCAACCGCTTCCAAACCTCACAATGTCTTCGAGCCCCATGCAATAGATATGACAAAAGTGCCGTCTACTCACAAAAGTACGCACTCTACGCCATGTAAATTCTAAAAAGAATTAACACCTGTCCATACGCATAGTCATGTGTATGTACACACCCATAGTCAGATGTCAGTGGTCATCTCAACCCAACTCACTGTATGGGCCCTCGCAAAGTGTCTATTTAAATTCACACTGGCAAATCATAGAGCAAACACTTACAGTACCCAATTACACAGTACACGTACAGGGATTTCCCGAGAAGGTACAACTACAGTGAACAGTTGCACGGTGCATGTACTGTCAACAGCTACACAGCACAGTACAGCCATAGGTCAGATGCAGGACAGTACAATTGCAATGAAGCAGCCGACAAAGCTACATCCTAAACCCTACACACCCAAACCCTAGACCCTAATAAACCCTACAAACCTTCTCCTTAAGCATTTCCTCAAAGAATGTGATCCCGTCATTGAGGGGCTTGGGTAGCTTTGCGATGTTGCCCCATACGTAGAAGGTGCCCTCCGGTATGAAGTCCACGGTAATCCCTAGTTTTAATATACCCTGTCAACGGCGAATGACATGGACCACACAATTGCATGAGCAACGGAGGAAACCCAGGCTAAACCCTAAACCCTAGCCCTAAACCCTAAAGCGAAGGCGGCCCGTGTATGTGAAACAAGGTTTGGGGGTTTAACCAAAATTTTGGATGTTTAGCCAAGATTTTAACCGAAGGCATTGAAGGAGCCTGAAACAAACCTTAAAGCCAAAAACCCTAAATCCTAATTCAATACTAAACTCAAAAACCTATTACAAATCTCAAACAATTGTAGCTAAGCTATACAATACCACTGACGACCATACGACAGTGAACAAATGCCCATGTATTGCCAATAGAAAAACAATGCTCAGTCTACAACAGATAAGACTCGTATTAAACATAAACACCAACGCAGCACATCCAGAAAACAACAATACTAATGTAATACCACTAGCTACCCTACCACAGAGAGCATTGCACTCCCATTAAGAGCAACAATACTAATGAATTATCACCAACAACACAAATGAAACACATAGCCATACCTCCAGAAAGATGTCGCGTTTCATCTTGAAATGCGCCTGCAGTGATTTGATGTCCGCTCTGCACAAACGTTCGAATTCATCGGTTACGGGTTCAGGGTTTTAAGGTTTTGGGGTTTTAGGGTTTTTAGCCATAAGGTACAACAAGTATATTCAGGTTACCATGCAGTAGTAGTACATGTAGTAATTGTGCCAGGCTGCAGCTATCTATTCAAGTAAATCCATCCTTTTTGTAAATGGTATGTATTCTTATTAGACCTTATTAGAACCACAAACCTAGTATGTATCATATAAAAGACACCTCGACTGGTTTTTCTGAATAGAGACCTCTTTCGGTTCAACCCAATACAGCGCATTGGGAGTAAGTTTTATGAGTTCTATTCCACACAATACAATACAATACAATGCAATGGCTTTAAACCACCCCTCACTATTGGGCTTGTGCGTTGCTGGTGGTGACATGCATAAACACACACAGCTGCACACATGTGGCACAATCACGCACGTGCTTACCTCGTAAAGCTTTGAGCGAAGGTACACAAACACTGCTAATATATCAACCCCTTATACGCACTCTGTGGCTAAACCCTAAAACAGTCACATCATCCACTAATCACTCTGTGCAAGTCCTCCGTCATGATATGTCAAATCATACCATCCACTACTGTATCACCATACGTACAACCCTAGCCCATGAAACATATACCACTTTGTAGACATATATACATACTGTAGAAATATAAACATGTACTGTACTGTACACATATACCATCCCATATTATACTATTATAACATACCAAACTGTAAAACTGGTTACTTATACACCATACTATGTCATATCATATAAAACTTATACGCCATACACCATACTATGTCATATCATATAAAACTAATACACCATATAAATATCATATAAAACTAATACATCATATAAATATCATATATAACATATTTATACATCATATAAATATCGTATATAACATATACAAAAATATATATATCACACATAACATACATCATATAAATATCATATATATCATACACATCATATAAATATCGTATATAACTGATACATCATTCATCATACCATATCATATCACATATGACATACACAACATACCCCATACTACTTCACATAATACATATAACTTATAGCCATACCTGATCCAGTCCATATCCGCTAGCATGGGAATAGCTGCTTTCTGCATTGGATTGGCCGCGCCGCCATCCAGATACGACGCAGCAGACGCTACCTTCCGCATCAGCTCCTTAGGGCCCACGCACCAACACACTATGTGCACAGAATGATCAGATAAAGACACAGATGACAACACAGAATGAACAGATGAAGACACAGATGATGACACATAGGAACAGATGAAGACACAGATGACAACACAGATGGACAGATGAAGACACGGATGATAACACAGGTGAATGCACGCAGACACAAACAACACGCGTGAAGGAGTGCACACGGACACACACGCAGGGGTACACAAGGAGGTATGGGGAGGGAGAAAGTGGGTGTGAGGTGAGACGAGGCTTTGTATCTTGATAGGGGTTTGGGGATTTAGGGATTTAGGGATTTAGGGTGTCGGTGTGGTTTGTACACACTTTGTGCTTGTGTATTGGCAGGGAATGCATGTCGAACACTTTGATTGTGACGTATAGATGCGTTTGCCAGTACACTCTTTCAGTAGGTATAAGGGCATCCCCATGTGAGTTGGACTATTTTAGGGTTGACAATATAAAGTCACTACGCACAAACCCTAAAACCCTAAATTCCAAGATAAATCATAAAACCATAAGGAGACTCGTGAAGTTGACAGTCGCCCGATGGCATCTGCACAGCACACTCAATTGCGTAACGGGGTGATCACAGCTGCTAATAGCACCGATGTAAGAAACCCTAAACCCTAAAACAAAGATGTAATCTCTTGCAAAGGCAAAGTAATGACTGTTGTACTTATGACCAGACACATACTAGACACACACCACACACACACACACACACACAACTCACAAAACAAATACACACAACACACAAAACAAATACATACAGACAACGCACACAACACACATAACACACACACACACAGAACAGCCACACATAACACACAAACCAAATACACACACAACAAATACACAACACACACACGCGCGCGCATTTGCACCGTGTCAATGGGTTGTGTGGTAGAGGGACAGCTGCATCTGTACCTCTCCAACCAGGACACCTCCAATTCTTAGTCAGGCCATCGATGACGATGACGGGGTCTTTGTTGACATCCACCACGTACCTGCAATAGCAGGGCGGAATACCGGGACGTATGCTGTTTCAATACCGAGTTCTGTGATTGTATGGTCTTAATGTTCAGATGTACTGAAGTGGTTAGGTGCAGTATAACATACAACACACTAACTCAACAAAGTACGTATCACACTTACTCAACATAACACACAACACACAACACACTCACTCAACATAACACACACCATAACACACAACACACTCACACAGCACAACACACAACACACTCACTCAACATACCACACAACGCACTCACTCAACATAACACACAACACACTCACTCAACAGAACAACAACACACTCACTCAACACAACACACAACACACTCACTCAACACAACACACAACACACTCACTCAAAACAACACACAACACACTCACTCACTCAACACAACACACAACACACTCACTCAAAACAACACACAACACACTCACTCAACAGAAGACACAACACACTCACTCAACACAACACAACACACTCATTCAACACAACACACAACATACTCACTCAACACACACTCACTCAACACAACACACAACACACTAACTCAACACACACTCACTCAACACAACACACAACACACTAACACAACACACACTCACTCAACACAACACATAACAAACTAACTCAACACAACACACAACACACTAACACAACACACACTCACTCAACACAACACATAACAAACTAACTCAACACAACACACAACACACTCGGCAGAAGAGACTGTGCGGAGGTCTTCTCCTTCGACTTCTGAGTAAATGTAGTGCGAATAGAACTCATCCATTATCAGCAGACAGTCTGTGCGACGGCCCACGTCAATCCACTCAGCCAACTCCCGCCCTATGCACAGGGGGAGGTGAAGTACAGGCGGAGTAGTGGTGCGATTCAGAGTTTTTAAGGCATGAAAGAGGGCAGCGGTACAGGATATACAAATCTATGGCTTGTCTATTTTAGAAGGCTATGTATATATACATATATATATATATTCGTATATGTAAATATGTATAATTATAATTAATATATATATTTATATACAAAAATAATAGATAAATATATATATGTATATATATATGTATGTATATATATATGTATATATATGTATATATATAGATATATAAAGATACATATATATGTATATCTATATCTTTATTTATATATTATATTATATATATATTTATATATATATATAATATACGTGAACGCTAATATATCAGAATATACGTGTACGCTACTATATCAGAATATACGTGTACGCTAATATATCAGAATATATTT